CCCTCTCCCACCCCATCACCCCTCGTACCTCCTTTCTCCCAACACTCCAAAATCCATCCCGCTTTTACCTTGGTGACTGGGAACAAGGGGGAAAAAGGGGGAAGTAGGAGGGCGAAAGGGGAGAAGCTGAAAAGGCACGTTGGTGGAAGGGCAATTTGCATGAAAAATAAGAGATGGATGATTAGGGACCATAGCAGGGAATTTTGGTTGCCCCAGAATTAAAAGACAGCATCCTGCAAATCAGTGGCGAGACCAGGTGAATTGTATTCTGGCGTTTTCTATGTAAACCCGATATTTAAGATTTTGTTTTAAAAGTAGCTGTGATCATAAAAACAGACTTTTGCTGCCTGTGCCTCCATCAGGAGCCAAATGTTTTGCAGTGAACAGGGTGCCAGCCGTATTTCATACATTAGTACATAATTCTTGTTAATTAGCAATAATTTACGTTAAGAGCACAGAAAATGTTGAGGTTACAGGTTTTATATCTGTACATTTGATCATCTTGTTATTTTCAAGAACTTTGCCTCCTATAAAATTAATTAGGTGAAATGTGGAGGTGTAATCAGCAACCTCTGAATTACCACTTCATTTCCTGGTTTTGATTGTAAATCAGCCCAGTCGGTACAGACTTTAGCAAAGTCTATTTTTGTTTAGCGCTACTTTCAACTGTCTGGTGTCGAAGCAGAGGGTTACCTTCCCCTGCTAAATAATACTGACAGCGTCAGAAAGAAATCAGGCCGCGGGAAAACATTATAATTGAGTAATGATTATGCAGAGCTCCTTGCTAAGCCAGTTGTAAGGGGAATACGGATTATTTTGTGTCTTTTGCTGCAGAGAGTTGGTGAGCTAGAAGTTAGATTGGCAAAATACCTTTGTCTGTGGCGTGCAGCAAGCTACTGATGGAATTAGTCCTGCAATAATTTACTCCCTTGATCCGAACGCAAGGAACGGCTGGGGAGAAAAACACCAGCAATCCCGCAGAAGCACCCTGCTCCTCTCCCGGCTTCCTGAGGAGTATGAAATGCATGTTGTGTGTCTTATCTTGTCGGTCTGTAAGTTTAGAAGAAAACCCCAGTGATTAAGACATTGTTTTTATTAATACTAATGTAACCTTCATATTCCTGTGGTTGACCTTACATTAAATTAGAAGTAGTACTAGAGACAAGAAATGATGGACTGGATCCCTGTGTCCTAGTTGGAGCTGAGGTACGGCAAGGTAGTGTGCTCTTTCAGTATTATTTTACGCAGCACAACTGGGAGCTACTCCAGATCTTCCTCCTCAATATTCAGCCTAGGTAGGGTTGAAATAAATTTAACCTGAGTTCACTGGATTTTTGCACTTTATCAAAATCAGTTCCAATATTGTGCAGTCAAATTAAAATCTATTTTTTGATTCTCTGTGGCTTTAAGTTCATTAAATGTGAAATTGGCAGCCAGCTAAAGAAGGTCAGGCTGATTAACTGTTTAGGAGTTATGTTCTGTCTCACTTGCATTACCTGGCAGTGTTTTGAGGTGGGTTGTATTTGTAGTACCCTCTATTCCTGCTCACTGCTGTTAGCGTGTGTGTTGTATTGCGCGGATAGAGGAATACCAACGCGCTGCTGGTATTTGTTGTGGTGGTTTTTTTTGGGGGGGGGGTTGTTTTTTTATTTTTGTTTGTTTTGTTTTGTTTTTAATTTTTTTCTGGTGAAAAGCAATAGTGATGGAGAGCACACACAGATTGCCAACGTATTTTTCTGCAAACTTAACAACAAAAAAACCCCAATAGAATAGAGAGCTGTGTCTGCCTCCTTAGGCCATCCACTGACGATTCTGTGAGCAGAAATAGCCTCATAATGAAGCTTTTTGGAGCTCATTCAGAAAATTCGTCAACTTTGACAACATTAGGCAAGGTATTTTAGTTTAAAGAAGGCACTCTCACTGTTGTGAGAAAATGTGGCAGTCACTTGGCCACGCTGATTTTTAGATGCTGAGGGCCACCAGTGCTAACACGTTCAAGATAATTCAGGCATTCCTTTATTTCAGGATGAAAAAGGAAAAATTTGACTAATTGCCTTGTTTCCTTAAGTACTAAAAAAATATCCCGTCTAGCTAATATCCCCGGGTGGAATCGGTCGTGAATTTGATATTTATTTGAATCCTGAGGAGTAGCTGAGAAGTGAGAGAGGTGCCTCCCCCCGCCCCACAGGCATTTCTGCTGCACTTGCTTTTTTATCATTTTGGTTTCTACCATTTATTTATTTATTTGTTTCATCTCTTTCCCCCACGAATAACTCTCGGCTTTTGAATTTTTAAATTAGAGGCGCAAGTAGGTTGATAGGGATAGTGACAGAAACACTTATGTACATACACATTTACATGTGCATTATATGGGCTATATGTGCCCTGTGTGTCGTGCCTGGGTGTGTGTGGGCAAGCTGTCTGGATCTCTCTCTCTTTTCTTTTACACACACATGTGCTACCTGCATGGCCTGTACAGGAAATATGCAATATCTATATGTTGAACTACCTTTTATCTGCACCCGGGTAGTTCAGGCTTCTGAATTCCAGAAAGTAGGTCTGGCTGGCGGGAAATACACACCCATGTGTGAGTGAGAGAGTGTGTACAGTGCTTTTAGCCTTGAATTCATGTACGTAAATAATACATCCGGCAATAAAACACCATATTCGCTTCTTTTCATAGTACTACAAGAGTTTTGCAGTGTATTCTTTCAGCCTGTTCATTGAATTTTATCACTGAATTGTTCAATTGAGTCAGAAATTTGTCCTCGTTGCAGTGCTCACTCTCCGAGTTCTGCATGCTACAGCTGCTTCTGCAAAATCTCTTCCCTGTAACTGATGAATTCATCTCCTCGCTGCCGTGCCAATAGCCGTGTTGCATGGGTTTAGTTGGGGGGAAGCAGGCGGACATTGTGAGCAGGGTGTAATACTCACGAAGAGGGGGCTCGGTGCATTCCTCCCCCCTGCGCCCCATGCCTTTCCCGAGAGCTCTAATGATTCTCCTTTTGTCTCTCAAACTGCAGCCGAACCTCTTGAAGCCATTCTCACTGATGACGAACCTGAACATGGCACATTGGGAGCTCCGGAAGGGGACCACGACCTCCTCACTTGTGGCCAGTGTCAGATGAACTTCCCGTTGGGGGACATTCTAATTTTTATTGAGCACAAACGGAAACAATGCAATGGCAGTCTCTGCTTAGAGAAGGCTGTGGATAAGCCACCTTCACCCTCACCAAGTGAGCTGAAAAAAGCATCCAATCCTGTGGAGGTTGGCATCCAGGTTACACCAGAGGATGACGATTGTTTATCAACGTCATCTAGAGGAATTTGCCCTAAACAGGAACATATAGCAGGTAAATTAAAGCAAGGAGAAGTGTTTGCGAGTTGATTTCCGTTTCAGTTGCAATGTAGCATGTTTGCAGTTGTAAACTGCCGTGTCTGTCTGTCTGTTCTGCTCGCTGTGATGACCAACATGTTAAATACCCTGCCTTCGGTCAGTGGTGAACACACGACCGGTATTTCCTAGTGCCTGCGCAGAGGCAGGATCAACAGGCACATGCTGTGCCAGCTGGTATTTCTAATGGTATTGTTTGAGGCTGCTCTCGTGATTTGCCTGTATTGTAGTCACCGTCTCCCGGTGTCTCGCCTGCCGTAGCGCTGCAGGAGGAGATTTCAGAGCCTGTCGTGCGATAAAGCAAGGAGCTCTCGAGTCTTTGGCAAAGTCAGGGGTGAAAGAGTTAACTGAGCATCAGCCAGCCTTGGTTCCATATTGGCTGTCAGCCGTATGGACTGTAATTAAACACAGCCCCATGGCAAAGTGACACCACCGACCTTGACTTTAAGATGCCATTTTCGACTGGCCAGGCCAGAGTAGAGAGGGCAGTTGCTGAAGCGCACAGACATGCTTATTCGAAAAGTTTAAGGGCATGTTGGAAATTTCAAAAGGTTGGTTTGACAGGAAAGGCTGCTCTCTGCAGCCTGCCTCCTCAGCCAAATGATAAATGCTTCGCTGTGCTCTCTCTTGTCTCTGATGTGGTTTTGACAGATGTATCTTGATTTTGTTTGCGGTTTACACAACCACATGTCAGCCGTACAAATGTCCGAGGCAGGGTTCTGTTTTGTGCATCAAACAACATGAAATGTAATTTTTAAAAAAAGGGTAAATAATTCTATCTCTTAGCATTTATTTTTAACAGAAAGCCATTCACTGTGCAGATATTTTCACAAATGAGGTTAAAACAATAGAGCTTACTATGTGAAAGAAAATCCCAGAGCCCTGGAAGTGTAACAAGGCACACTCTGCTTTTAAAATCCTGCTAGTAAACAAGAGTACTACCCGTTTGCAGTGAGCGTTGCAAATCACTTCAAACCGCGCCAACACTACTGGTCAAAAAAGGCGAGACCACAGTGTATCAACACCCAACAAATGCCTGAACCTGTTTCAAACCCGCCCTCCAGCGATGTTTGGGATGTGACACTGCCAGAACCTCTCTTCGGGGAGCCCACAGGACCGCTTGGGGTTGTCGGAGGCACAGTACATCATCACATGATGTGCTGGAGCTTGTCTTGGGCTTGCTTTGGCCACAAAGTTAAACCATAATAGGGCAGTAGGCGCTGGGAGGTTCAGTGTGATACTCCCGCAGCCTCTCTGCCCTCCAAACTGGCCAGCAAATCACTCCGGAGAGCTGTAGTTCTGAAGGTTTTGTGGTGGCAGCAAATACGTGTGTCAGTGCATGCGTGTCTGTGTGCACACATGTATATATGCAAAGCGGTGTGTGTACCCTGCATATGTAATGTGAAATAATATATTCTATTTCAGCAGAATAATAGGTATTACTTTGAATACATGTATACATGGATGTTTAAGAGGAAACAGAGCCTCAGCTACTGCTAAGCTACATTTTGAAAGACTTAAAAAAAAAAATTCTCATATTGCACTTTTGAGCCACAGCTGTTAAAGGTGGTTTTTTTTTCCCCAGAGTGGTAGAGGGCATTGCCCATTTCCATGTGCTTGCCTGTGATCTGACGGAAAATGAGCAGAAGCATAGGGCATGATTAATGAAGCAGGAGCCTGGCAGAAGGGATTTGTAGTCTTCCCAGCTCTGGAGCCATACTAAATCACCAAATATGGAGGAGCGGCACTGTGATGTAACGCTGTATTTACGTACGGCGCTGCTCTGTTGAAAAGACAAAACACAGTATCTGTCAAGCAAGAATTAAACCTGCTCTCCTTGCTGTGGTCCCAACTAGGTCCCTCAGCTGGAGGGGCAGCCACGCTGGGGAGTTCTGCACGAGGGGAAGCTCCTCAGCTGAGGGCTTTGCTCTGGGACTCATTGGGCGCGGGAGTCCTGTCGAGCCAAATCATGCTTTTGTGTGGCGTTGGTGATGGGAAGCGAGCAGAATTTGGCCTCATGCGATGTCTCGGGGCCGTTAATTCAGAAAATGTTGTGGTTTTAACCAACTTTAAATGGTTCAGTGAGTGGAGGGCAGCGGGTTAAGAGAGCTGCACACCAGCAGAAGCCTGATCCTGCTTGCTCTTACAGGTAGAGACCACCTTTGTTTTTGCACATGGGCCTGTCTGGGAGTGTGCTTGGATCCATGCTGTGAGCCATGAGCGCTGTTGTGAGTAGTGACCGAACTGCAGATGTTCAGGCATCTCCCACTCAGAGTTTTCTGTGCGGTGGTGCCCAGCCATGCCCATGGAGGGGAGGTCCAGGAGCAGAGAGTTCTTCTCCTGCACCTTCCCGGCCGGGACAGAGCTGAGTGGCACTGGGGTCCCCTGGTTGTTCCCAGTGGTGGGAAATGCAGCCGGGCTGTGGGAGCAGGGAAGGAACACCAGGAATTACAGGGTCTTCCGCTGTCCCTATCCTTAATGTTTTCATCTCCCCTTTCACTTGGATGAGTTCAGCTCCCTTGGATCCTAAAGAAGTGTGGCAGTAGCTGGAGTGACCCATTGGTCGTAGCCAGGCATTTGTGGGGTCGAGCAGTAAAATTGCCAGTGAGGCTCTTGGAGTGAGCTGTGGAGTTCAGGTTTCTGGAAGGCCCCTGCCGTGAACCTCAGGCTTTTCTCATTCTGGTATTTTATTTCTGTTTTCTGTGTGAGAATGCAAAATGCAAAAAGATATGGGTGTGTAATTAAAATTTTAAAAAAAGGACAGAGGCTGCCTTTGGAAAAATATACAGGAGTTGAGGGAACTGATTCTTTCTGGTAAGAGACCAGAAAATATGTATTTATCAGCAATGTAAAAATGTCCCAAATTAGTTGTTAGGCTGAAAGAGGTGTTACAGGTTAGCTCTGGATATAGAGATGCTGTCGGTTAGCTCTGGATGCAGTATGTGCCCTGTCTGCAGTTTCATAGTAAGTTGGTGTGTTACAGTGAAAAATAATCTTAAGATAAATAGTGGTTAACAGCAAGTCATTCAAATGCAGGGAGAAATGATGTCTGTTTTAACCATCAATATGATACTCTTTATCCTCACCGTTTTCCAGAGATGGGGATGATTACAGGAGCTTGTGTGTATATGTGCAACCTGTGCAGTAGCTGTGAGATCCATATAGGTGCAGGCATGCGTACCTGTCTCTTCCGTCTGGGTGCCTGCACATAGCTTTGACTTGCTATAAAATTTTGAGTGATGCTGATCCCACGCTATAGCTGAAATGTCATAAATTTAACTGGAAATTAATAGGATATGTTGTGTGGGTCCGATGAGGCAGATTTCATCAATATGTATGTCAAAGCCTCACCACCAGATACCGGCAGCCCGTGATTTGCAGTGAGTGCTACGGCAGGGCTTTAGTTATCCGCTCTCATATTTTACAATAGGGGGAAATATTAACTGAAGTATCTAGAGATCAGTGAATGTAAAATTGCTGTTCAGTTATTGAAAAGGCTGCAGAAATATTTATCGTCTGCCGGCGTCAGGTTTTAGCGGTTTGTTTGTTGAACATATAAATCTGAGGGAATTAATGAAAGGTAGTTTTTTGGGTGAGGAATCATCTTCAATGTGACTTGGATGCAGTTGGAGGAACACTTTGGAGTGCTGCTGCATATTGCCCTTTATAATACCTGGTGTGTATCTACAGATGCCGTATTTACTGTACAAAGAGGGGAGGAGAAGGGGAGGTAATTTTTACTGCTTGAATCCTTTATTCCCAGGCTGCTTGTGCCATTCAAATAAAATACATGGAAAAATACATGGAAAAATAACGTAAAAAAAACCTCTGTCTACAGTAATCAGGGGGGAGGTGGGCATAATTTGGTACTAAATTTTGGACCAAGTACATTTGATTATTACAGTTCTCAGGAGATAATGTCTTTGAGTAGTCATTATACCACAGAAAATTTCTTGGGCTGCTATTAGTAGTTGCCATTATAATTCTGCAGGTTGTAAATTGTGATTCCTTATTATTTTGTTTTGTTCTGGAGATAAAAAATTATTGACATCTGCATTGAATAGTTAGCATTGCATCTGGACAATAAGATGAAAGCTTAAAAAAAGGGGGTGGCAAAAAAAAAAGGAATATAGAAGTATTTTGGGGTCAAATTCTATCTGCTTTCCCCATACAAAGAACAGAGAGCACAGACTGGGTAAAACAGTCACAGGAAGGAAAAATAGTGAGGGTGCTGCCCAAAAGGCTCCCTCCTGCTCCCAAGATTCAGAGCCCTGCATACAAGCTGTATTTGTAAATAAGGCAGAGAAAGGTTGTGAACCGGCAGCTTGGCTGTTTTGTCAAAGTACAATGTCAGAGAAACTCTTTTCTAAGACAAATTGTAAATAGAAGTGTCATGATGATTACATGATTGAGCTCCAGAAGTGTCTTGCAATTGTTGGCATTGTCAGAAGACTTTTGAAAGCTTAATTAAAGGCGGTGGCCTGTGCGGCTGTGAAATTTACTTCTGGGGGGGGGGAAATGTAAAAAATGTGGGGGATCAAAAAGTTGCTGTAATGCTACTTGCACGGGGACACAGGGAAGAGTCAATAGTTTCTCAGCTTTCCCTGTTGCCTTATTTATAAATAACATTTTTTGAAGGCACAAACATGTGACACTAATATCATCGTTTGTACGAGGTAAAGATTTTGTTAGTTTTCCTATTCCCTGCTGTTACAGACAGTTAATGTAAAAATGGCACTTTATTGGAAACACAAATAGGAGGTCAGTCGAACCACAGAAGCAGGGTAGAAAGTTTTCCTCTGCCTCAGCATGATCCTTCCAGGGAGCATCAGAATGTTGTGGTGCCCTGAATCTTTCTGGTTTTTTGTTTCCTACAAATCAGATCTTCTGGTTTAGAGGATGAGAACTATGTTTTGCATTCTTTCTCCTATTGTATGGGACATTTAATTGCGGAGCTCA